TACTTTCATTATTGCAAAGCCAACTTGATTTCTCATAATACCTGGGCGCTGTAGTTTTTAAAAGACATTACTCAAACAGAAAAAAAGTATTGCAGTTTTGGGGGCTATTTTCTGTAGATTTGGTGTGGAAAATAGTGATTGTTCTGCACAGTCCAAGCATTATAAAGTCAGCACAAAATAAATTAAACAGTGTTCATATTCATGACACCCGGGCCTGAGGGGTTTGTTGACTAAAGAAGAAGATAACAGACATATCCTGTAACACAAAACACAAGCAGGATAAGGATAATCACCTTTATGTTAAGTATGTTACACACAAGGAATTTGTTTCCAGCACAGAGCTGATGGCAGCCATCTGTGGCGGTAACTCAACCGATGGCTCTAACCATCAGGGGTTGGTTCAGTGTCTTGCCCAAGGACACTTTGACACATGGACTGGAGGCACCGAGATTTGAACCTTCAACCCTCTGGTTGAGAGACGACTGCTCTACCCACCACACCACTGTTGCCTCCCCCGAGTTTTGATGGCAAAAATATGACAGTATGTTAAAGTCAGGATGAGTATGTTTGCTATGACAGCTATAAAACTGCATAGATGGACTGCACAGATTATGAAGCACAACAGCTCAAATACTGGAAATAGTCTTGATATCACTGCAAATATTGTTGTTGTGTGAACTTTATTTTGTGCTCCTCCATGTTGTCCTCCTTAGATGCAATATTTGCATTCCAGCTGCGTAACCCGGTCCACAATGGTCACGCCCTCCTGATGAAGGACACCAAACGGCGCCTGCTGGAGCGAGGCTACAAGAATCCAGTGTTGTTGCTGCACCCGCTCGGTGGCTGGACCAAAGATGATGATGTTCCTCTGGACTGGCGGATGAAGCAGCATGCTGCCGTCTTGGAAGAGGGCATCCTGGATCCAGCCAACACCATTGTTGCCATCTTCCCCTCACCTATGATGTATGCTGGACCCACAGAGGTGAGGAGCAGTGTTGCCTTGTTGTTTAGTTGCAATCAGTTTAGCTTGTGATTGTTAAATTATTTACCCATAATAAATATGTGTGAGTGAATATTAACCTGAATGTTAATTTCAGTTCATGTCAATTTCTCAACAGGTGCAGTGGCACTGTAGAGCCAGAATGATCGCAGGAGCAAACTTTTACATTGTTGGCCGGGATCCTGCAGGCATGCCTCACCCAGAGACAAAGCAGGACCTGTATGACCCCACTCATGGAGCCAAGGTCCTCACCATGGCCCCAGGCCTCACCTCTGTGGAGATCATCCCTTTCAGGGTAGCTGCCTACAACAAGACTAAGAAGGCTATGGACTTTTACGACACTGAGCGGTGAGTGGAGAAAGATTTACTGATTTGGTGACCTGAAAACCAGACAAAGAGCATCACCCATGTCAGTTGTTTCATACTATAATAACATAATTTATCGTACAAATCTTAAGACAACTCCCAAATTGGGTACATTATGTGCCTCATTCTTGTAGATTCAGTTTGTGCAGGTGTAATTATGGCCTCATCCCACTGTATAACTTGTAAATATTGTAATATTAGGAGTCCACAGCTCTTCTAATGACCTATTCTCCCCACTTTTTCCATACCACCCTTCCTCAATCCTCACCCTCTTAGACATGCCGAGTTTGAGTTCATCTCTGGAACCAAGATGAGGAACTTGGCTCGGAGCGGAGAGTACCCTCCAGACGGTTTCATGGCCCCGAAGGCCTGGAACGTGCTGGTCCAGTACTACACTTCTCTCCAAAAGGACGCATAATCAATACAGCATTCAGATCACCAGCCAATAGCATACTCTAAAAAATCTCCCTCACAGAGAATTTTTGATAGAATTGTTGTATATTATGCAAAGAATATCCATTCAGAGTGATGAATTGAGATCACTATGAATAGCGAGTCATTTTAATAGGTGCTGGGTATGCAGTTATTGAAAAGTATTTTAATAAATTAAACGTAAATGGCATTAGTTTTTAAGGAGCTTCAGAGCACATTCCAGGATGGAAATGATTTTTATATATACAGTACGTTATTGAAGGGTGCATGACAACTGAGCATGCACATTTCATTTTTACAGCATTTTATCACAATTATATCATTGTAGAGTATAGGTCAGGCCACATAGTTGTGTCGGAACCTGGCCCTAGTCCAAGAGTGTGGTGGCTGAACCTGATCCAGACCCGACAAACACATTTTAGTTCATGTCCACCCCTGAACTGAACTTGATGCCGCTGAGTTTGTGTAGTGCTTTTCTATGGCCCATGTGCTTCTTAATAGTGTTGTTGTGCACTTAAATGGCTCATCATTTAAATTTTTAAGAGGACTAGCACTTTAAATGACCCTACACTAAAGAAAAATCTAATCCATTTACATGACAAGTGCAACCTGTTTAGAGTAACTTTGGCCTACATGACTGAACCCTATGGGTCCCTTTGGGCTTGGTTCAAATATCCACCCTCTATTGTGAAGTTGTACAACATTGATTTTATTTTTACTTGGTGAAGGTGCCTTTCTCTCAAATGTTAATGGTATTTTTTAATTTTTTGCTGGCTTTTACCTGAAATGTGTCTTAGATTTGTGTGATGTTATAAACTGTGCATTTGCATTCATGTAATGAAAACCTACAGTTTTAGGAAGTTAGCAGGGTTGTCTGTGGAAAAAAATGTACTAGGAAAAAAAATGCCTATGCAATGTCTGTTCCATGATTACTGGAATCCAGCAAAAAGACCTATGTTCACTTTGGAGGAGGCAAGTGGTCAAGAAGTCAATCTGATATAGCTGCATGGAAAATAAATAGATATGCAAATTATTTTATTCCGTTTTTATTCAGGCTGCTTAGTGTTGATGTAATCCAGTGTACAAGTTTTCCCAATACAGGGAAGGACCTCCTTCCTCACTACAGCAGCTAATCTATATTTTTTGGTTGCTGGCTTGTTGCTGTTGTTGTTGTTTAACGATTGTTGTCCGAATATTACGTTGATGTTCTCTCATTTCTAATGGGCGGTCTGTATAAATGAATTGCCCTTTAGGATTAATAAAGTATTCTGAATCTAAATCAGAAAATGAGTTTGTAAATTACAGTAATGAAGGAAAGTAAGGAAAGAATCACTGGTGAGTGCCTAATGCTTGGATATTCTGTGCTGTGGCCTGAACCAGATGTCCTTTAAGAATGTATGTAAATGTTTTCTTTTCTGTGATACCTCTGGCCTGATTTAGTCTGTGTGCCAGTGGTTATCTAACATACCTTAGAGCAATGTATGTCTGTACAAGGTGCATACTTATCATTTTAAGATCAAAGGTTGAAGTTGTTTGGGCAGTTGGGGATTTGGGGGCTGCATAGCCAATGGTGCAATGCTGCCATCTGCTGGGAAACACAGGTACAGGGAGACACAAAGAGAAGGAGAAGCTACTGTAAATGCATGTGGGCACAGTCACTTTGTGTTTCTTGGACAAGAGGCAGGCTTGATAACTGCACTCATCATGATAACTTCACTCACTCAAAGATAGTCCTGTATTTTTTCATGTCCTCTAAAAACAGACTTTCTGTTGAATGGAGAGTGATTTTGGACTAGCAACAGTCACAGTCAACAGTGGTGATGTTCTTTAAAACTATAGAATTTTGTGCACATTTGCATAGGAAAACAGTGTTTGGTTCTGGACTGGCTTTACCATGTACATCTGTTATAAGAGATCAAGAAGATCCTGAGGTGTTTTCAAATTGCATTTAAGAGATGGCTGACTGAATTTTGTTGCATTTCGTTGCCTTGTACTTGTACATGGGTAATGACAATAAAGTTGAATCTAATCTAATATAATTTGAAGGACTGATTAATTTTGGCAGTCATTAAGCTGCAAGGAATTAAATTATATGAGATGAGTGTTCAATGAAGAGAACCAGTTTCCAGATTCCTAGCAGAAGCAGACTTCTAAATAGTCTTGCATGGGATCAGATCATTTAATCTGCAGTGTTCCAGGTAACCCCATTTAAATCTGCTGAATTGCACTCCTAGTACTCTTCAACATCCAACATGTCATGTCACTGAGAAATGACAGGATGACTATGGTGTAAGCCTCTCGTGTCCTACAGCTCTAATATTTCTGAACATATACTACCCCTAGTTTAACACCCCTAAATGTGATGTAGCCTAGTACCTATACTATATAAACAAGTCACATTCCCCTCAAGTGTTCAGATGTTATGTGTAAAGCTAGTTATTTAAAGATAAGATTTTAAATTAGTTATAACAGATTTGATCTGGAATGGTTTGCACAGCTGTCACATTGCATGAATGCAGGTTAGGGTCTCCTTGGTTCCAGATGTAGGTTGCTGTTCATTAGGAGATACTGTGGCATTAATTATTTAGCACTGCATGTGAAGATCATGTATGTGAATACCCTTTCATATGTGGCTAGTACTGTTTGACTATATGAATAATGGGCCCTACCTCAAAAGCCACATTCCCAAAGGTAGAACTCATGTGCATTTTTTTGGCCAGTGTGGTGGAAACACGTCCAAACTAGAGCTACAGCTAATAACTATTTTTGATTGGCCAGTTTGTTTCTCAGTGAATTACCCATCCCTTATACAGGGAAATTAGTCTAAGGTAACGACTTAAAGTTGGTTCTGACCAACAGCCCACTTTGTGTGTGTGGGTTTTGGCACTAAACCCTGTAAAACCGCGGCTTCACTTAAATTTGGGTGCATTCTTATCATCGACATTTTTACTTTTTGTTAGGCTATTATTTCTGTAGTACTAGCCTAGTATTGTTATTATTACTATTAAAATATATTACAACTTTAGGGTGCATCTTTAATGTTATTATGAATATTGTGATGTGTCACTGCTACTGTGCCTCAGTGTAAACAATAACGTTGCCGTCTATTGCCTATGTAGTTGCCAAATTAATATACGAGAAGGTTTGAAGGAGGCAATGACGGTACTGAAAAGTATACTGATTTACCACCTTAAGTATAACAAATGTTATATGGACAAAAGAATATACTTGCAATAACCTGAAATAACAATTAAAATCGCAAAAAGTGTTGGAGACTTCCCTAATTACAGTCACACGTGACCACTTTGACAGAAGGGAGCGTTGCATGCAGACCCACTTTATCCTTCCGCTGGAGGCACAAAATAACTCGTTTGTAGCGCCTTTTAGAGTTCAAATGGTTGTATAACATAAGTAGCAGTTATTCGAAATATAAAACCAATTATTAAAACAATATTAGTTGATAGTGTAGGTGCTGGTTTTAATAATACCGAAGAACTATATAGTAAAGGCGGTGGGATATTTGTTCTAAAATCCCAGCCTGCTCTACCTTCTTTTTTTTCTTCGGTGGAGGCCATGATGGGAGTTTGAGAGTTCAGCTGGAGCGGGAGGAGCAAAAGAAAGAAGATGATTCCCTGGGACGGAACTGTCAAACCAATCTGTGCAGATTTCTGATTTTTGTATAGTCTATATACATTTAAGGTGGAGCCTGTCACTTTTTTCAGATGTGTTCTTGGCCGTCAGTCGATGACAATGTTGAATCGGTAGGAAGCTTTTGGATCGAAAAAGGAGGCAGCATTAGCTATTGTTGCTAGTTAGCTGCGCTAGCTAGCTACTTAGCTAGCAAGCTAGCTTCGTCTGAGTGATTGGATACGGGGTTCAGGAACCGGTGTGTTCTCTGTCCTCTCGCCTTCAGTCGTGGAGGCTGCGATTGCGCTATCGGATTTGACTGCATCAGACATCCAAAGGTTTATCTGAGGACAGCTGCATGTATTTTATTCGGGGGTGTTTGCAAGACGAATTGCAGGATTGGAAGAGTCGGGCCTGCACGGAGGAGCAGAGCAAGGCCCGTCTTTATGATCCAGAGGAAGCTTTTCTAATCTAACCGACAGCCACTGCTAGCTCTGCGGGCTAGCACGTCTCTGCGAAGACCTGCAAAATTCAGAGCAGACCCACTGACTGCGACATAGTGTTACACGGCCAGACAGCCGATACTAGAAAAACCTGTTTCCATCATTTGCCCCATATAGACTCCTGTCACCTGCTACAATGGCTGCGATTATAAAAGAAATGGTCAGCCGAAACAAAAGGAGATATCAAGAGGATGGGTTCGACCTAGACTTAACATGTATCCTTTCTTGTGTTTTTTACTTTCACAGCACATGGACATTGATTAGTAACTTGCAATCGTTGCGTTGATTAGAAGTGGAACCAGAAATGTCAGTGGAGTAACGTGATGTAGCTAGCTTACCTGTTAGCTGGCTAGTTCATCAGACAGCGCAGCTTTGCTGTCACCCAGTATGTTTGAAAGATGGTTGATCTGACAAACCAGAGCACATAAATGTTCCAGTCATGTTATAGCTGCAAACCCCGGTTGAACTGGACATTATTGTGCGTGGGCTTTAAAAGGGGCATTTAACTTGCATACCAGTCACCCAGCGGTGGACCTAGCTTGAGTTTGTTAAATTGTTAGTGACAGTTGTTGTTTGAAGGCAGTAGATGTTTTCTAGTATTTATCTTAGTGTGTCTTCAAGTCAATGATTTGCATGTTAATGCTATATAATATGTATAACTTCATTATATGTTAGCTTTCCAGTGGTGACATAATGTACAATTAACTAAAAAGATAACATCCTTGATGCAAGCCCGCTCTCTCCCTCTCCTTGCCTCACTTGAACTGTGTCCTGTATGGTTGAGTGTTTGTTGATGTAGTTCAACACATTTTTGAAAAAGTAAGTTAATGTTTTTGTTTCCCTTTATTAATCAAGACATGGTCATTTCTAGAATTTAAGATTAGCCTTTACAGTCCTCGCTGCAGAACTCGTTTCTCATCTGTTCACACTGACAACAAATGATGTGGTTCCCTGGTGCAGTGTCCTTGGTACTTTTACTACTTTGGCTGATAAAATGGATTAGCAACTGATGTGGTTGACTGTGGCGAGCTAAATGTGAATTGTGTTTGACAGTGCTGAGAGTGGGTCATGGTTGCATTGTATGATTGTATCAAACTGTCTTTTATGCTTTTAATATTTGGGGGTTTTGAGCTCTGATGAGTAGTAAATCAATTCTTAAGTTTGACAGAATTTGCAGCAATTTTAAT